CATGAGAAGTGTACTGAAAGGATGTGACCCTGTATACCTGGGTATCTTCTGTCCCTCAATCTAGCTCCCAGGAAGTCTATGTGTTACTAGGCAGCCTAAGTGCTATGAACCAACCTCTTCTATTTCACAGAATGTTCCCTCGTCATTACCCAGGAAGACAATCCTTGCTCTCAGAACTAGTCTTATGATTTCCTGGCCACGATTGTTCAATCTGAACTATCGACAAAGCTTATCTTGGACCTGGTTTATATTAATAGAAGCAAATACCAGTTTCTGTTGAAAAACAGGAGGTGACATGGTCGGGTGTTTCAAACTAAATTTTCTGCCATGCCTTCCCTGCTGACAATAATTATTCTATCTTGCTTTTCAATGCTGGGTTTCAACAGGAAATATATCCAGGCTGAGTTTGTTCTCTGCACACCAACATAGCGCCATCTACTAGCTCTCTGGGGCCTCTCCAGGCCAGCTAGATTCCCTATTATTAGTTGTGCCTTATTTTTTTTAACCTGCTGAAGAACCTAGCCCTGCTCCAAGCCACTCTCCTAATGGTGAGAATTGCCAAAAATTGATTTTCCCCTTTTGAAACCATGTTCGACTCCTTCCAAACCTTGGTATGTCAAAAGGGGCATTCAGATGACTTGCTCTGCCATTCTCTTCCACTTTTTCCTGCATACACCACTTTCATTCCATAGGATTATAGATTTCACTTCAAAATCGTTTTCCTCTATATCTAGATGTTGTCCTCAGATCATGGTGCAGGGGTTTTATGAATGCCACCCTGCCTTTGGCATTTAGTATTTTTTTTCTTGAGCTTCCATTATTGCTGATGTGGGAAATGTTTAATTTAAAAAGAAAAAAATAAAAATGACTCCAGTCACTATGGCTTCAGAGCTTAATTGCATTCAGTTTTGCAGCATTTCTCACCCTGCCCTTTCCATTTCCTGAGTGCACACGGAGCAGGGGCCTCTGTGCAGATTCTGTCCTCTGGATTCACCAGATCTGTTGTAAAGTGCTCCTGGCCTGGGAGCTGGTGGCCAACTTTCCAAATACAGTTGAGCAAGGCTCTGGCCTCCCACCTATTTCAGTTTGCACAGGCAAAGCAAGGCTTCTTGACTGGGCAGTCTTCCCTGTGTCCCACTGTTAGCAAGTCACATTCACTTTACTCTGGTGGACCCTACTTGCTCTCCCTGGTGAGCAGTTGCAGCTAGCTTTCACATGCCCAAGAAAGCACTGATGATGTCTGGATTTCCTCACTCTCCCGCCCCCTCAGGACGAGAAAAGGCAGACCTCCCGTCTATCCTCTTCTGTCCCTTTTACCTTCCCACAAAGGTGCACAAGAGGCACTGCTCTAGCTGGCTGAAAAGCTGAACTGAAAGGAACAGGCTTGAAGAGCAAGGCTGTGCTTTGGCTTCCCCCAGGAATATCCCGATGAGTTTTCCACATACCTTGCCCTACCCCTGCCTCTCTTCTCAGCCTAGGTTCAACCCACCGTGGATAAATGGGCGATGGAGATAGTGGGATTCACCCCTTGTTCTTTTTCCCCTGTCTTGCTCTTCAGCAAAAAGACTGTGATTTTACTTCCTGCACACTAGAATTGTCCCTGGGTCATTCCTTCTCTCTCCTTAGACTAGGGTTACAGTAAAGCTGTGTCTAGAATTCCAGGATCTCTTCTAGCTATATGAAAATGAGATCCAAGGATGAGAATATTCCCAAATTCTCTCTCTCTCTCTCTCTCTCTCAAAAAAAAAATCAAACTTTCAATATTATCTCACTGGAGTCTCAGAAAAACATCTAAAGTGAAAATTTTAAAAGCAAAGCTGTGTCTCTTTTGACTAAAGCCAGAAGTTCGTAATTCTGGATGCACATTATAGTAACTAGGGCAGTTTTTAAGAATAGTGATGTCCAGGTTTTGTGTCCAGATCGCAGTCCTAAAAGATTCTAGAATCAGGCTCAGGGAAAGATATTTTTTTAAACTTCCCAGCAATTCTATTGTTTAGCCAGGATTGAGAGTCACTGACCTAAGGCTGTCACTTGTCTTTCCCTCAGGGAAATACCATTGAGTCCACGTGTCCATGTCCATGATTTATGAGGAATGCATAAAAAGAATTTTAATATTTCAAGCTTAATGTGCTGTTACAACCCTAAAACATTCTACATCACAGACCCACAAATTCATGTTATCATCTTACCGATCCTTTCGAGCATGTGTTACTATTCTGTATTTAGTTGAAAGGTGATGTGGAGCTCAAAGAGGTTAAGTAATCCCTGGAGACAAACACAAATCTTTATTCCTGATATTAATAGCCACCATTTACAGCATTCTAAACATGATTTTTAAAATGAACCTCCTATTATTAAGATTCGATATAGAAACAGATCATTTGCAAACTGAAGACTTTCCGTAATCCTAAATCATAAAGGTAATTACTGTCACTGATTGGCTGTGAACACCTCCAAGCTTTTTGTGTCATATGCAAAGACATCAATAAAACCCTATTTCCCCTAATAAGATCACACTGTATGCAATTTTGAAACTTAATTTTTCTCTTAAACATATATTCTACAGCCGGGCACAGTGGTGCATGCCTGTAATTCCAGTGACTCGGGAAACTGAGGCAGGAGGATTACAAATTCAAAACCCTGTGAAACAATTTAGTGAGGCCCTAAACAACTCAGTGAGACTCTGTCTCTAAATAAAATATTTAAAAAGGGCTGGAGATGTGGCTCGGTGGTTAAGTGCCCCTATATTCAATCCCCAGTCCCTCCTACCACAATGTTTACCAAATTGTCCTCCAAGTAAGTGCAAACTTACAGTTACTTCAACAATATATGACAATGATTGGTTTCCACACCTCAGTGACACTAGGTGGGTACTCGCAATCTTTTTTGAATGTGCTCATTTGCTAAATGGAAGTGGATACCCATTATTAACTAAATTTGCATTTGTTCACTTATTTAAAATTGGACATCTTTTTACATAGGAATTTTGATCCTTTGTATTTCCTTTTCTGTGAACTACCTATCTGTGTGTTTCACTCATTTTTTCTATGAGATCAATTGGCCTTTCTTTATTGATTTGTGAGAGATTTCTGAATGCCAGAGAAATATGGTGTTATTTGTGGTTTTGAGTCTTGCCTTTGAAGATTAGCTGAAGTGTCTCACCCTATATTACTTTCCAATAACTGTGTAATGTATGGCTGCAGACTTGCTGACTGTGAACAACAAACATTTATTATCTTAGAGTTCTGGAGGTTGGAAGCCAAACATGGGCTCCATGGGGCTAAAATGAAGGTGTCTGCAGAGCTGGATTCCTTCTTCAGGCTCAAGGGGAGGACTCTTTTCTAACGTTTTCCCAGTATCCACAGACCATTGGCAGTCCTTCACTTCGGGCCTTGTCCCTTTCCCTTCAAGCTATCATCCGTGTGGCATATTTCCTTCTCTCTGACCTCTACTCCTCTCTCCTTTGTTTTTGCCATCTGACTTAATCCATTGCCTCCTTTTTATTAGGATCCTCCTGATTATATTGAGCCTACCAGGATAGCTCAGGATAAATTTCCCATTTCAAAATTCTTAACTACATATGTAAAGTCCTTTTTGCCGTGTATAGAAACTTGTCTGCAAGGTCCAGAGATTAGGATGTGGACATCTTTGAAGGACTGATATTCAGCCTACTGGACCTCCTCTTCCCAGGTTTTTCTAATGTCTTGAGTAAGAATTAATTTCTCTTTCTCTCTGAATCCCACAATTCTCAGCATGAGATGATTCCCATATTTCTAATGTGAGAATTTTCAGAGCTTCTGTGAAATTTGGGTTAATCTTTTTACTCTTATTCTTACTGTCCTGGTGACTTAGCTGTTTATCTCATCTATGCAGTCAGATAGGCCTGAGTCTACACTGGTAACTCACTTGGTTTCCTCATGTGTGGAGGGGGAGAAGCTATCCTGCTGGATAAGAGAACAGATGGCAGAATCAGATTCCCGGTCCAAATCTCTGCTCCACCACCTACGAGTGAAAATCTGAAAATTTCTCAGTTTCCTCAACTGCAATACACAAATAATTACAGTATTTACTACATGCCTTTACTATATTAATTGAATATGTGGAAATGGCTTAAAATAATGACTGGCATAAATATTTACTAAAAACTAAAATTTATTATTTCTCATTGTGAAGTTATTGTAAGAATTAGAAATGGTAGATAACACCACAACAGAAAACAACACAATGCACAGGGTAAATTACCAGTACACTCTTGCTTTCCGTTTATCGTCATCTTCTGTGTTAAAAACAATAGCTTAAAGAAGTCAAATAAAGAGAATGCGGTATTTCAAAGGTAGAAAATGTCGTGAAATGTGTTCAACTTTGTGATAATAACCTGAATTATTTCAGGCTCTCATCCTCAAGCTCGATATGTCACAGGGTTAAAAACATATGAAAGGTCAATACTGTTGCAATGGAATGATTTTATTAGTTCCACTGATGAAATGATAATTGTGTCAACCACAGGCTTTTAAATATTACAAAGTGTTTTCAAATATATTGTCTCATGGGGCCTCAGTGTTAACTCAAGGCAGTATGTAGCAATCTCATGGCTATTTGATTATTTCAGCTCCCCAGATTATTATCATCTTTATCACATAACAGCATTTCACTCCCTTGGTTCATGGGCTCTCCCATTGTTACCTATTTGTTTCCCAGGCAAATTCAGCTAGTCCACTCAAATGATTATAGTAAATAGAATAGAAACTTGTGGAATCATCTTCCTCTATGGTGTGAAGCAACAGCAGAGTGGTACAGCAAATCAGCTGTTCCAAGTTCCTCAAAATGAGTTTTACTTTTGCAAAAGAGCCTCTGACTTCCTGCATTCTGTGAGCTGCACTGTGAGCAACATGACTGGCAGCCACGTTTGTTGTAATTTTTTAAATATGTGGAAAAAAAGCAAGATATCGACCATGTATTACCTTAACCAAGATGCCAAATTATCTAACTTGTTTCTCCAGGCCAGCAGCCCAACGACAGGGGCAGCTCCCAGGAGCCAGTCAAGGTTGTCTGTCTGTCCATCCACTCAGGACATTTGCAGGTAAGTGCTGAGCAAATAATCTTATTCAATATTGCTTAGACCCGTGTTTTGTGTTTTTTGTTTTATAGTATGAGAATGTGTAGCTCTTGCTTCTGCTTTATTTCCCTCTAGTTCACCTCTCCCCTCTAGTTCATTTTCTCCTTTTGATCTTTATTTACCAGCTTCTGGCCATGCTATCATTTTCATCATTCTTTTTCTTTCCCTCTGTCTTTCCATCACTTTCCTCTCCATTCCCATCTCCCATCCTTGGCCTGCTGCTTTGTCCAGATCTTCCATCTTACATGACATGTCAGAAGATGCATTTGAGCACTGCACCCCTGTCGTGGTGCTGGGTCCTGCTAGGAAGGAGTGTGGTAAGAAACCAGTAAAACACAAGCCTAGGAGGAGGAGAAGGGCCTCGGAGAGATACAAGCATGCAGAAGAACAAATAAAAGGGGGGAAAAATGACTTTCACCTCCAGATCTCAAGCCCCAGATGGAGAGAACTTTACACAGATTCTTCAGACTCGTCTTCCACAGATGAGAATCACTGGATTCAGACAAAAAAGAGAGCCCAGGTTAAGTTCCGACTGTCACGAAGAAGGAGAAATAATAATAAGCCCTGTGGAAACTCGGCTGCGTCTTCCACTCCTAATGGAATTGAGCTTGTCGATCTGGGATCCAAAGGTGAGAAGCAGCAGGAGCCAAAGGAATGTGAGAGTTGCTCTTTAAACCTCTGCAGAGGAAAAGTCCTAAGGTACCAAGAAGGATCCTTTGAGACGAAGAGACCCTCAAGGAACCATGAGAGAAACAAAGTTAGATACCACTGCAGGGATTCTCAGCTCTTGCACAGTCTTAGGCAAAATGAAACAATCAAGAAAGGATTTTCAGAAATGGATTCCAGCACTGAAATACTGGCAGTTGCAGGAGGCAGCCAGTCCATGGACAATACAGGGCTCCAGGTGAATAACGCTATTCAGAATCCTCCAGCCACCTACGATGATCACTTAGCAGTGTGCAGGTCAGTTGCTATAGAGATAGACTTGATGTCTTCCTAGTAGATTTCTTCCTGCTGTTAGTGGGTATGTGTTTGTGTGTGATCAACCCTCAAAATGTGGCATTTATTCATGCTGTTATTTGTCTGATAGGCTATAAGATGATAACATGAGAAAAGCTGGGTATGTGAAGAAGAATGCAAAAGTATCTGGGCTTTCAAAAGCTGTTACAGAATTAGGTTTCTTCTTCCATTTCTTATAGTTGAATAATCACCTATCCTGGAAAAGGGATTACCAAAGCACTTGAGGCTTGTGCCCATTCCACTTAAGACAAAAATAATGGAGAAAAAATGAGTAAGAAGTGTGTGGAACCTTAGATCATTTCATGTGAATCTGGTGAACTGTTAGCATCCTGACAGAAAGCTATTCATGGCTTAGGTTCTTTAATGTCAGATTTTTTTGCATCAGAAAAATCTCCTGTGCAGTGGGCTCTAATTTGTTCTCCAATTGCCTGACTCAGCAGGGTCACTCAAGACTGAAAGGACAGAGAAACGGTTCATGGACATTTCAGTGGGGTTACTGAAGCCTTTAGGGCATGAGAGCACATTAACTTTGCTGATAATCACACACTAAAATATGTCAACTTTTGGACATTTCATAGCTATGATATTGCTTTCTTGTACTTTTTACCCCAGTGCACCCATTTTCAAAATAACACAACATCAAAAAGAAGTATATCCATGATAGTAGGCACAAATGAGGTACTTAAAAAAAATTTAAAATTATATCCAGTCATTTAAACTGGATTCTATTTGGGAGCAAGTGCAGATTTTGTTGTATAAAGCATGTCTGTTTGACTTTATTCTCATAAAACTGAAGTTACTTTATAAAACGTGTGTGTGTGTGTGTATGTGTGTGTGTGTGTGTATGTGTGTGTGTGTGTGTGTGTTTGTGTGTGTTGCATGTGAATCACATGAATGAGAGAAAGCTATCCAGGCCCATTTGGGGCAGGGAAGCAAGAAAAAATAATTTCTAGATGTGAATAACATTAGGGTTTCTCTGAAAGTTCTGTAAGATAGTTATTCATAAAATGTTCATTCATTAATTCAAGCATTTATTATGCATCCAGCTTTACCCTAGGCACTGAAAATACAGTGCATATTTGGATAGTTTCTGACATGATAGAGCTTATAGTCTCATGGAGAACCCAGACATGAAACAAATTATTTCATAGTTATTATATTTAGAGTCATGATAAGGAATCTGGGAGCACAGAAGCTCAGTTTATTCTGGGAGATCAGAGAGAAATTCTTCTAAGGAAGTGACAAGCTGACCAAAGCTCCACATACAACAAAACTTGATCAAGGAAAGACGCAGGAAGGCCGTCCAGGCAGAGGATGCCAGGAGGAGGGAAGGAGCCTGAGAGCAGGGAACTGAAAACCTGCTTTTGTGGTCTGGGTGTGTCAAGGGAGGGGAAGCAGACAGGGAAATAAGGATGGAGAAGTGGGATGGGCTGGGCTACACAGGGCCATGTTGGGGGGTGTAAAAGGCATTTAAAAGTAAAGTGACACCATTTGATTTATGTGTTAATGCAAGTTTCCTACAATCTTTTAAATATGATTTATGCATGCCTTTCCTGAACATTTAAGGGATAGGCTAAACATCATTTGTGGTCTAAATTAAGAGCTCCTCACTTGCAACCATCTGTTGTCATTTCCCAAATCTACTTCCAGAATTATTTAGTAAGACAGCCAAAGAAGCTAGCTTTAAACTTAAGGATAATTGGAGAAAAAAAGTAATGCTAACAATTAAAGTCATGATGACTGGTTCCTCTAACATGAATACTACTCTGGAGGAACGTTTCCACAGACAGGATACTTAACTAAATGAAACTGAGATCAGTGGGCTATTGCTATTATTTCCTACTGTGGATTAGCACCAAAATACACCATCTAAGCAAATGCTGTGGGCAGCATATTATACCGAATGCTGAGGATAAAAACTGGCAAAAGACTTGATTTTTTTTTCCTTTAAGCAGCCTATTTCCTAAGTGAGAGAAATTGAGTGCACACCTGAAAAGACAAAAGTTTACGGTAGCACAGAGTGAATGTAAGAAAGAGAACTATTATAGGAATCTGAAGAAAGAAAACTCCAGAACTGGGATGATTTAGAAATCCCTTAGAAAGCGATGGGAATAGGGCTGAGAAAAGTAGAATTTTGACTGGCAACATTTCCTGGATGGTGCTCCAGGTACTACAGTCAGGGAATATATTATTAGCTCAGATAGGGATGGGGGACTGACTGTGCATTTAAGATTTTTTTTTTATGAATTTGTGTGGCTGGGTTAGAAGATTCACATAGATTGGTAACAACAAATGTTTTTTTAAAAGACATTTTGAAGAAAATATCGACTCATTCTGAATTGTTGCTTCTGTAACTCTGCTTCCAAATGACCTCAATAAAAAACTTTTAAGTTCCAAGTTTTTGCTTTAAAAGCTGAGGGCGGGTCCGGGGCCCTCTCTTAATCCATCTTCAGTCAGACTCCATCTTCAACACAGTTCTGCAGAGTATGCCTCTAAGGAATAAAAAGGTACTACTACTAAAAATAATACAGAAAAGCCTTTGCTAAATAAAACAGGCTGATGGAGTGTCACATAGAGAGGGCCACCATCCTTGTCCTTGAGTGTGCTGATAGAGGAGCCTCGATTTAGGAGGAGTTGTGGAAGAAGTATCCCACTGTGCGTTGAGCAGGATGCCTGTTCATGGATAAGGAAAGAGAAGAACGAACGGCATACTGGCATTCCACCAAGTGAACAGGAATGATCTTAGTGACTAGATTTGGTGAGAGCATAAGACAAAGGAGTCAAAGGTGACTCCAAACGTTGGGAGTTGGGAGACAGGAAATGCTGATGTTATTGGCACAGGCAGGAGAGGTCAGGGGTCAGTTGACTTGAGAAAGACATTATGAGTTCAATTCTAGGCAGGCTGTCCGTGGATGTAGTGACATTCTGGTGTCAGCTGTCCAGCAGACAATACGAGACATAATACTGAAGTGCAGGAGAGCAGGCAGAGCCGGGTATGAATAATTTTTCAATCATCAGTGAATAATACACAGCATCACAACAAGCCACTGCTTATGTGTAACTGCATATGCTAACGTGATGTATTAACACAGGGAAATAGTTATTAAACACAGAAAGCTTCTCAAGGCCAGGGGAGATATAAAGGCCATGGTAATTATTCTCAAGGAGGTGACAGCAATGTCCGGAAAAGTGAGTTATCTCTACAAAAGATCATATATGAGTGAAGGCTCCAAGCAGATAGAGCCTACGCACACCAGGGTGCCCAGAGAGGTAGATGACAGTGACAGAGCAGCAATCGCCTGTGAACTGGCACTCCTGTGCTTCAGACATGCATGAGCAGGATGGGATCAGCCACAACCACAAAGCAGAAGCAGCTCGGAAGCCCTTCCTCCTTTTCTGTTCCTGGCATTTAGTCCTCACATGGACACTATATCCTCTTTCACACCCTCATCGGGACTTATTGAGACATAGCGTTTCTATCAGCCAATTGTAACATGGAAGGAATGTAAATCACATGCTATCGTACCCACAGCTGTGCACAGTGGGAAAATTTTGCCCTTTTTACAGAAAAAAATACATATATTACAAAAGAAAACATGAATAAGAACATCTTAGCCCCTCACTGAATTTTTTTAAGGCCTCTAAGTTGCCCTCAATGGCACGGGCAAAATCTTTTATGATTTTCAAGTCCCCCCAAGATCTCTCTATCGGGTCTGCCACTTCAGCCCCAACACACGTCATTCTCCGTCACCTATCAGTGCTGGTCTCTTCCTTTCATGACCGAGGTTGGCATTGCACTGTCTCTGACTCTCACCAGACTGATTCTTCATCATTCTTTCTCAGTTTAAATGTCATTTCTTTGGGGACACATGCCTGACCTCCTAACAGTCAATCCCCTTGGCCGTCACTTCCATCATTTTTAATTGCTAAATATCAGTGTTTTGTGATTAACTGTGTCAGATTCACCCACTGCCATATCCAAAGTATCTGGAACAATGTCTAGCAGATAGCACATGTTCAACATATTGTTTTTTAATAAATATACATAAGGAAAATGTGTTTTTTCTGTAGGATTCATGCTTACTATGTGAAATCACAGCATTGTGTTTGATTACCCCACCTCCTTTGGAACCAATCTTTAAGGATACTCTACTCCAGTGGTTCTGAAACCTGAGTGGAAGACTAGTAAAAATACAGATCACTGGTCACCCTTGGACTTTCCCTTACTCTGTGGTTGGGCCCATGAATTTGCATTTCTAAAATGTTCCCAGGTGATACTAATGCTTTAGATGCAAGGACCATACCTTGAGAATCACTGTCTGGGCTACAAATTCTCCCCTTGTTTTGGGTGGGAAGGAAAGGAACTAAAGAGGAACTTTGGAAAGCTACATTATGGATGTCCATAGATTTCTGGAATGTTCCCTGGACTGCTGTCACAAAGCACAAGTAGGTCACTCTGCTGTACTTCACAGTGTCATTCCAGCATAGTGGGCATCATGTCACTGAAGCCAGAGGCTGATGGTGGCATGTTTACCAGGAACTCAGTTGTCATGGTTTGACTGTTGCTTCCATTTAAACCCACTTCCTCATCCCAACTACGCCCATTTCTATCAGTGAGTCCACACATTTTCTGAATTTTCAGTTTTGACTCTCATTCCTTCTACCTTGGATGTGGAACTCCAACAAAGTCCTGTCAAATGTTCCAGAGGTTGCCTCCGATCTGTGCCTCCTTTCTCATCCTTATTGTTCCATTCTGGCCCATGCCTACACTTTCCATCTCTCCCCACATCCACCCATTAGCCCTGCTACCTGTTTTGGTCTGGACTTTCCTACCAGGTTAAAATTGACTGAAACCAATTCAAATGAGCTTAAGCAAGAAAGGTATGTGTTAACCACAGGAATACTAAAGCCAGGTGTGCAGATGACTTCAGGGACTCCAGAAA